TAACCTATAACATTTTGATGTTTTGATGCATAAAAGCATTATATCAAATGCATTTCCTGGTATTGGATAGCAGGAATTATTATGCTTGACAGTGAGAGGCAATTAACATTCGAAAGAGACATGTGAGCAGTACAAGGGTGACTGAGTGGTCATGTTGATTTGTTTGTGTAGGTTAAATAAGGTGTCTTATAGTCAGGTTCAATGTCTCTTTTCACGTAAGAAAAAACACCTCAAAACGCTTTACAAACGCTATATGAAAAGGAGAGGTTTCACGTAAGAAAAAACACCTCAAAACGCTTTACAAACGCTATATGAAAAGGAGAGGTAAGGGTCATCTATATTAGAAAGGATGCGAGGCAGAGGGTTTCAGTAGAGTTTCCAAAGAAACTGAGGCATAATAGCTGAAAGCTTGACCACCGATGGTAGGATGTAAGGGGTGAGAGCGTGCAGCAGGTATAAACTTGCAGAATAGGTAGGAATATGGGGCTGGAAAAGATTGCAGAGTGGGACAAGAGTGTAGAGAGATTTCAAAGTCAGAACAAAGATCTAGAAGGTAATCCACTGGGAGACAAGCAGTGGAGCCTGACTCCACATTGGGATTTTGAGCTCACAGTCTTTTGAGCCCACCTTGTCGAATGTGCCTCCCTTCAGAGGAAACATTAAACCAAGGTCCTATCTATAACTGTTCAGGCAGATGCCAGAGATCCCATGGCATTATTTGAAAAGAGAAGGGTCTCTCCCGGTGTCCTGTGAGAATCGATCACTCAGGTAAAAATGGTCATTCACTTCATGGCTGTTTGTCAGGCATTGCTATACTGAAATTGGTTGGTTGCTGTGTTTACCAATAATAATAATAATCCTTGCATTTGATATAGCGCTTTTCACGTCGGGAGGACGTCCCAAAGCGCTTCACAGAACACACTGTAAAGTGAATTGACTGTATATTTGTGGGTGAACGCGGCAGCCAATTGCGCACAGCAATGTCCCACAAACAGTCGTAGATTGAAAATGACCAATTTATTATTGTTTTTGGTTTTTTGGAGGGATTATTATTAGGCTCTGTGTGGAGTAAGGAAACTTGCCCAAGGTTTCGCCCTCTGCCTGGAATTGAACTCAGGTCTCTCGCTTGCAAAGCGAGTGCTCTAACCACTGAGCTACAGGACTCCACATGTAAATGCATAATCACTACTTTTTCCATAAAAACTCAGTGAAGCACTTTGAGATGTTTCAACATGATAAGGCATGATATCCAATTGTAAGTTATTTATTACAGTGGAGCTTTGTTTTAATGCGGTCTTTGTGTTCCATAAAACCCCAATCTGAGTTTTGACTGTACAGAAAAACTCTCTGAAGCTCTTTGAGACTTAACAAAACAATGTGATATAGAGCAATATCAAGTGCAAGGATTATCAATATATAATCCAGATTTCTTGCCTAATCTCATTTTAAAGTATTTTATATAATAACAGAGAGGCACGCAAGAAAGGGTTTTGGAAATAGTCTAAACTGTTAAGTTAAAACATGTTAGCTTCTAAAACAGATGGCACAGTTCTTATGTTTATGTATACCTTGTGCTTTACAATGTGTACATTTGGACTTTGAGGTGTAGCGTACAAAATTATATTTCTGGAATCAATGCAAAGTTTATAGCATTTGCATTTCTATAGCTTTTCTACAGCAGAATTTTTTTTCTGTGTTTTTTGACCACATCTGTAATATTTTGGTAATAAGTCATGATCTCCTTCATCAGTGATATCTCAAAACACCAAAATTGAGATGTTACAGACCGACAACCACAAAATATATAGTCAATTCACTTTACAGTATATTCTGTGAAGTGCTTTGAGACGTTTTGAAGACCTGATAAGGTGGTTTATCAAATGCAAGGATTATTATTATTATTATTAACCTCAGTTGTGCTGAGGGAGCTGATTACTAATGAGATAGGAACAGAACATCACAAAAGGATGCCATAAACAAATCGGCATCCTTGGTCTATAAAGAGGGGAAAGCAACCAGGGCTCCTAGTCCTCATCACATCTAGTGACCACCCCACCAACCTCTGTGAAACCAAGTTAAAGGGCAGAGGTCCATAGTGCAGGATAATACTTGGAGAAGAAGAGAGAAGGACATAAAATAAAAGTAAGGGTTATGTGATACCACATGTTATGAGTAAAAAAACGACATAAATAAAAGGGGAAAAGTGGAAACCTAAAATGTAATGTTCTTAGGGGGGGTCTAAATAAACACAGCAGAATCAACTCACATCTGTCAAGTGGTGAAGTTGGTTAGACATTGTATTTCAATACAAGAACAGTTTTCCTGTACACTATCACTACAGTTTGATTGATGGAAAAATACCAACTTCGGTGAAAGTAGAAGTGTATTGAATTTTGTATTGAATTGCAGGCAATATATCACTGATACTGTTAATACTGATATAGTAGACAACAGTGTTGCTGCACAAATCTTCAAATCTTGTATCTGTGCAATAAAATAGTAATGCAAGTACTGTAGATTCTGATTTCCAGTTACTGTTTTGAACGTCACCATTATTTGAGATAATTAACTTGTGACTGGTAATAGCCAACAACACTTTTAAGAGCAGTGGTAGAGAGATTTTGACCCACCAACTCTTTATTGATTGTGCTTGTTTGTAGAGCATTTCTAGATAGGTGAGTGCCATAGTTATATTTAAATTACCAGAGGCTGAGATAAGTGTCCTATTCTGTGGAACAGATAAAATCGGATGCATTCTGAATCCATATTGTCTTTATTTTATTATCTCTTTTTTTGAAGGCTTCTGTTTAAAGAGTTCTGGAGAGATTGGGAAAGTCTGCAATAAATTACTCAGCATGATAAAATAATGGAGCTGAATTAAAGGTGTAAAGGTGATTGCTAAAGTAGAAAACTTTTTCTTACTTATTTACATTGAGATTTTTAGTTTGGCGAATGTTGTGACCCTTTACAGAAAATCCTGTCAAGATCTTTTGAGACATTTCGATGACATGATAAGGTGGCGTACTAGATGAAAAGATTATCTGTTTGCAATAAATATTTCATTACATCCAGGCTTGACTATGTTCATGCCTTGTTCATTGGACTTTCCAAATCTTCCCACCACAAGCTGTGGATTATTCAGAATTCTGCAGCTCATGTCCTCTCCCACACCAAGTTGCAAGAGCCAGTCACCCTTATCCTTATCCTTCACTGCCTCCCCATCCCCAGAGAATCGAGTTCAAGATTATCGTCCTCACCTTTAAAGTCCTCCATGGTCTTGCTCCTCCCTACTTCTGCAACCTACTAAATCTTACCAACCTGCCCGCTCCATCCTCTCGACAGGGACAGGCCTTCTCTATGTCCCCTACCTTGCCCATCCTACCATCAGCGGTCGAGCCTTCAGCCTTTCTAAAATCCTGGAGTCCCTCCGCCTCGCCCTCTCCATTGTCTCCTTCAAGATCTGTCTCAAGACCATGCCTTCGCTCATCCTTCCACCTCCACCCCCTCTCGCACTGTACGTTTCCCCCACAAAATATACAGTCAAATCACTTAACAGTATATTCTGTGAAGCACTTTGAGACATCTTGAAGATATGATAAAACGCTATATCAAATATAAGGATTATTATTATTATTTACCCCTCTTGACTGCAACCCCCAACTCGGGTGCAAACCCTTACTATCCTCCTGACATGAAAGGCGTGATATAAATGCAATTTATTGTTGTATTATTGTTATGATAAGCTCCAAAGTTATTAACCAAGTACTTCTACATAAGTTGTTCAGTAAGCTCCCTGCAGTGTGTGGATGGTTACCATTCACAAGCTAATTCCTCCGATCAAATCCAGAATAATATTATCAAGGTATAATAACAAGAGGGCATGAGTTCAGAGTTATAAAGGGTAATATTTGAACATACACCAGGAAGTATTGCTATACACGGAAGTTAATTAACGGTTGGAACTTGGAATCAGGAAGGTTGGTTGATGGAAGGACTCTGGGCAGATTTGAGAAACAGCTTGATGCTATATTGGAGAGATGTTTGGGTGTAAAAGGATGAGATCAAATGGACTTTGCCATCTGAATCTTTGTTGTGACCATGACATTAAGGCTTGTTCAAGCAAAACCAATTCAAAACAGAACAATCGTATTCAAATAAAAAATGATTGTTTATATATTGAAAGGTTACTTCCTCATAAAATTATATCATAGCCTCTTGCCAGATTTGTGCAAAATACAATACAATACAAAATTACATTCGTAAAGAGCCTTTCATATCAAGGCGCTGAACAGTCAGGGATTAGGACTCCATTTTCAGCTATACATGTCTATATTGTTACTGTGATTCCCATTATTCACTGTGTGACTATCTCTCTTTATCCTCTGTGACTCTCTCACTTTCCTGTTGAGCTCTGTAACTCTCTCTCTCTATGCTCTTTCCATTATACTGTATCTGACTGTCTCTCTTTATACACAAAACATAAAAAGAGATAAACATATAATAATCCCTTCAAAAAAAATTAGTGTGGTTACTTAATCCACGACTGTTTGTGGGACACTGCTGTGCGCAATTGGCTGCCGCGTTTCGCCCACAAAACATGCAGTCAATTCACTTTACAGCATATCCTGTGAAGCACTTTGGGACATCTTGAAATTGTGATAAGGCGCGATATCAAATGCAAGGATTATTCTGATAATTATAGAATGTATGCTATAGTAACAATAATAATAATCTTTGTATTTGATATAGCGCCTTATTATGTTTTTGAGAAGTCTCCAACCGCTTCACAGAATATTCTGTAAAGTCTAATGACTGTGTAATTTGTGGGTGAAACGTATAGGCTTTCTGAACTGTATTCACATTCAATGACATAGTATGGAACCATGGCACTTAGTGATGTTACTGTATCTACTTTAGTGAGTGTATTCTCTCTTTACTCACTCTTTACTAATGCTCTCTTTACTGATTGTCTTTACACCAATCTTTTGATTTGTTTGCAGACAAGTATAAAAGAAGGATTTTTACTGAAACAGACCAGCTCATTTCAGCGCTGGAAGAGAAGGTACTTCAAGCTGCGGGGAAGGACTCTTTACTATGCCAAGGATTCCAAGGTAAGCCATTATTGTCATATTTATGCAATCGGCCTCTTAGTAGATTGTATTTTTCGTTCGTTTGAAAATGAATTGTCCATGTTGCAAAGCTCAGAATTACATAGTTCTGTGGGAAGATTATAAGGACAGTTCAATGATTTGTCTTCCACATTGATAAGGGATGATCTCCAAACTGGTTAGTGCTTCATGATCTGCTGTATATGCGTTGAGACCCCCTCTCCCTTTCGTTTATCAGGCTGGGTGCATAATGGAGCAGAGTGCGATACTCTTACACATGGTGATGAATTTCTGCATGTGTCAGACACTTGTCTGATCAAACAAAACCTAGTAACTAGGAGCATAGGAAAACAGGAACAGGAGGAAGCCATTCAATCCATCGAGTCAGTTCCACCAGTTTATTAGATTTTCGGAGATCTATTAATTCCCAGTACATTGCCCTAATTGGCATACTCCTTAAAACCTTTACTGCTTAAACATCTGTCTAACTCTCTTTTGAGCAGCCCGGTTGATTCCTCCTCTACTACTTTCTGGGGCAGAACTTTCTTTGCGTGAACTTTCATGTTTCTGTTGTTTTCATAACAATATCCACTTCATAACTAATTAATTCCATTCCGCAAAGTGCTTCAGGACGTTTCTTTTTCTACATGAATATAAATTGTGTGTGCTGGATTTGCACCATCCAAAGCAGTGAATAGAATGCTGCTGTTTATCTAAGATGCTGCACTTAGTTGTCAGTGATGCTGCCGATGGCAATTCTGCCTTTAGTGCTTCAGTACCTCTCGAGAGTTGTTTTCTCTCTGCCTCTAAAAGCACCAGTGTAAAAGGTACCTCCAGCTGCCACTGTTATGTAGCTGAACTCCCTGCCCACCCATTCAAGGTAACAATGTGGTTTGGATATTGCTGGCCTTAATGAACCTTATCCAGATGTCAGACAAGGTCTGGAATCTAGGAAATGAAAGTTGTAACTGAGTGTTTGACGTGACAATTGTTTGACTGTTGGGTGTGCAGTGTGAATGGGGTACAATTGACCGCACCGGCATTTGAAGCTCTTGCAGAGCTGCTTCTAACCCAAGAGACTGCAATTCCCTTTCTATATAAATGCTCCTTCTGACCTAAATTCAATACCAGGCCATCGTTGGTGGGAGGGGAATTGCTCCCAATAGACCCTTGAACATATTCTCTTATTGACTCTTGCTCACTCCGTTCAGCCTCAAATGTGCAAGGAAGCTTCTTGCGTAAGTTTTTAAATAAACGACATAAGTCAACTGCACTAAATTAAGCCCACTGATTTGCAGCTCTTTAATAGCCCTACAATGTCTGTTTGGAGCACTGTGTAATGTTGTATGTACAATAGCAGCATCTATTGTTATGGCAAAAGTGTAGCTGAACCTAAGCAGCAAATGATTGAGTCAAAAAGGAACCTGAATGATAGTCTCCTGAAGTCATGAAGAAGCCAAGATCCTCTGATAATCAGGTATATCACGATCATCTCTTGTTCTATTTATATAATGTTTGAAGTATTTTTTAAAATAAATTATTTGAGTTTCAACAAGCCTAATGCGCAGCATTAGGGATGGAGAAAACTTCCTGGACAGCTTTATCCTGGAGCCAGACACTCCCCTGAGTCCCAAGGAAGAAGAATGTAGCAGCGACGGACATGACTGGGTGATAGTCAGGCGGGCAGGCAAGCGTTCCCGAAAAAGAGGGGCTGAAGAATCCCAGACTTTAGCCTTGTCTGACAGGTATGAAATATTGGCAACCTGTGTAGACAAGAAAATCTGCGAGGAAGACGGGCAACCTGACCCCAACACCCCATGCAGGAGGTTAAAAATGTAATTCTTATTGGGGATGAGACAGTTTTCTGTAGCCGTAGCAGGGAGACAAGAAGATTCTGTTGTCTTCCTGGGGCCAGGGTGAAGGATGTCACCGCCGGGCTGGAGATAAATTTGAGGCATGAGGGAGAGGATCCAATCGTAATGGTACATATAGGGACCAATGACATTGGTAGGACCAGTAGGGACCAGTTAAGGAGCGAGTTCCGGGAATTGAGAATTAAACTAAGGAATAGAACTTCCAAAGTGATGATATCGGGACTGTTACCTGAGCCAGGAGCTAATTGGTACAGGCAAAAGAAGATCATAGATCTGAATGCCTGGCTAAAAGAGTGGTGCGGAGAGCAGGAATTCCAATTCATGGGCCACTGGCACGAGTATTGGGGAAGATGGGAGCTTTTCCAAAGGAATGGGCTCCACCTAAATAGGGCTGGGACAAATGTCCTGGCTACGCGAATAAATAGGGAGGTAGAAAGGGCTTTAAACTACTAAGGGGGGAGGTAAAAACATAGGAAAGTATAGTCCACCACAGTTAAACTTGAGATCAACAAAAGCAAGAGAGCAGATTAACAAGGGAGAAGAGCAAAGTGTGTCAAGCAGGGAAAGGAAGTACAGTGATAGAGTGCTGGTGAATAGGGTTAATAGCCGGAAGTCAGAATTAAGGGCGCTATATCTGAATGCACGAAGCATTCGTAACAAGATAGATGAATTAGTTGCACAAATAGAGACAAACCGGTATGATCTAGTAGCCATCACCGAGACATGGTTACAGGGTGATCAGGGATGGGAACTGAATATTCCCGGCTACGTGGTATATAGGAAAGATAGGCGATGTGGTAAACGAGGAGGGGGAGTGGCCCTGCTAATAAAGGATGGGATAAAAACAGTAGAGAGGAAAGATTTTAAATCTGAAAAGCAAGATGTAGAGTCAGTATGGGTAGAGATACGTAACTTCAAGGGGCAGAAAACTATAGTGGGAGTAGTTTATAGAACCCCAAACAGTGGTCAAAGTATCGCTCAAGGTATAAATCAAGAGATTAGTGGAGCATGTAGCAAAGGAAAGACACTAATTGTGGGTGATTTTAACCTGCACATAGACTGGGACAACCAAATTGGGAAAGGTAACATAGAAGAGGAGTTTATAGAATGTATTAGAGATAATTTTCTAGATCAATATGCTGAGGAGCCGACCAGGGAACAAGCCATATTAGACCTTGTTTTGTGTAATGAAACAGGGCTGATCAGCAAACTGGAACTTAAGGCTCCTCTAGGGCAAAGCGATCATAATATGATGGAATTTAGCGTTAAGTTAGAGAGGGAAGTAGTTAAGTCTGAAGCAAAAGTCTTCAATTTAAATCGAGCCAACTTTGCTGGTATGAGAGAGGATTTAGCCAGAATAAACTGGGAGACTAAACTTAAAGATTTGACGGTAGACCAGCAATGGCAGACATTCAAGGAGATAGTGCAAAATTCCCAACGAGCACATATTCCTTTGAGGAATAAGAATGCCATGGGAAAGGTGGTGCAGCCATGGCTAACTAGAGCAGTTAGGGAAAGTATCAAATCAAAAGAAAAAGCCTATAAAACAGCGAAGATGAGTAGTAAACCCGAGGATTGGGAGAACTTTAGGGAACAACAGAGGAGGACCAAAAAATTGATCAAGAGGGAGAAAATAGATTACGAGGGCAAACTAGCAAAGAACATAAAAACAGACTCCAAGAGTTTTTACAAATATATAAAGAGGAAAAGGCTAGCGAGGGTGAATGTGGGTCCATTACAGGCAGAGACCGGAGGAATTATAATAGGGGACAAAGACATGGCAGAGTCATTAAACAAGTATTTTTCTACAGTCTTCACCGTAGAAGACACTGGAAACATACCAAAAATAGAGGACCAAGAAGACAATGTTAGCGAGCAACTTAGGGAGATTAACATTAGTAAAGAGATGGTTCTAGGTAAATTGTCGGGTCTTAAAACCGATAAATCCCCTGGACCGGATGGCCTGCATCCGAGAGTTTTAAAGGAGGTGGCTACTGAGATAGTGGATGGCATGTCTATAATCTTCCAAAAGTCTGTGGATACTGGAAAAGTTCCCATTGATTGGAAGATTGCAAACGTAACTCCACTATTTAAGAAGGGTGGGAGAGAAAATAGGGAAAACTATAGACCAGTTAGTTTGACGTCAGTTGTAGGGAAAATTCTTGAGTCCTTAATAAAAGACGTAGTTATGGGATACCTGGAAGACCATAAAAAGATTAGGCAGAGTCAACATGGCTTTACAAAAGGGAAGTCATGCTTGACTAACCTTTTAGAATTTTTTGAGGATGTATCCAGCAGGTTGGATAAGGGGGAACCAGTAGATGTGGTATATTTGGATTTTAGGAAGGCATTTGACAAGGTGCCACACAAAAGGCTGTTACTCAAGATCAAGGCCCACGGGATTAATGGGAAAATATTAACATGGATAGAAGAGTGGCTATCGGGTAGAAAGCAGAGAGTAGTGATAAACGGATCATTCTCGAATTGGCAGGATGTAACTAGTGGAGTGCCACAAGGATCAGTGCTTGGGCCTCAGCTATTTACCATTTACATCAATGATCTGGACGAGGACATTGAATGTAATGTGTCTAAATTCGCGGATGATACTAAACTAGGTAGCAGAGTGAGCTCTCAGGATGATGCAAAAAGATTGCAACAAGATATAGATAGGCTAGGGGAGTGGGCAAGTAGGTGGCAGATGGAATTCAATGTTAGCAAGTGTGAAATTATTCACCTAGGTAGCAAGAATAAAAGAACAGATTATTTTCTGGAAGGGGAGAAGTTAGATAGAGTTAGTATTCAAAGGGATTTGGGTGTCCTTGTACACCAGTCCCAAAAAGTTAGTTTGCAGGTGCAGCAAGCAACTAAGAAGGCGAACGGCATGTTAGCGTTCATTTCGAAAGGTTTAGAATATAAGAGTAGGGAAGTCTTGCTGCAACTGTATAGGGCTTTGGTGAGACCGCACCTAGAGTATTGTGTGCAGTTTTGGTCTCCTTATTTAAAAAAGGACATACTTGCCCTAGAGGGGGTGCAGCGTAGATTCACTCGGTTAGTTCCTGGGATGAGGGGACTGACCTATGAGGATAGGCTGAATAAACTAGGGCTGTATTCTCTAGAGTACAGAAGAAT